ATGAACTATTGAAAAGGTAATAATAATTAGGCCTACAATATATCCTTTGTCTTTTAAAATGGGATAACATTAATAACAATAAATATAAACTGTATTGATGCACAAATACTACTATTACTAGTCTTATATTGTTAGCTTGTGTCGTTGGGTTCCTTAGCAATAATATTAAAGCGTCTCACTCATTGCCCCTCCCCCCTTATCTGTCAAGTATGTATTGCTTTTCTTCATCTCTAACCAAAATCACCGCTCATATTCAGGTCGTAACTCATCATTGTTTTGTAAACGCACCAATATTAGGTACCACAAGTGAAATTTTTTCTGAAGAATACCATAACAAGACAATAAATTCCATAGTACTAGTACTCAGAGAAACAAGAACTATGAAAAAAGAATTACATGTATCAAAATCCATTTAAAAAACACCTGAGTATGAGGTTTCAAATATTTATTGGACTTGTAAAAATCGTGACGTGTGCGCAACTGGCTCACAATGCTGTTTCAAGGTCACACTACATGAAAAATGTTGTTGAAAATCTAAAGTGCTTTTATATTCTTAGACAAAAACACACAAACTTAGCGTAAAAGAAATTAAAATATAATTCATGTAGCTATTGTAGTGATTATTATAATAGTAGTTCAAAACCGAAAGAAAACATGAAAATGAATTTTTAAAATGGATGCCAATAGCTCTGAACCCCATTTTCCAAGTTCCGTAAAATAAACATTTATGGCTGGATAGCTATCAAAATGCAAATCTTGTAAGATATATACACACAGAGGCTTTGCTCAATCTTTTAAAGGGTCAAAACTTAAATACGGCAGAGATATCTTATGCAAGGGGTATGCTGGCCAAAACGAGAAGAAACCAATGACAAAATTGCAGTTTGGGGCCTTTTTTCGTAAGTCATAAAAAATTAATTATACTAGACAATGTCAAATATTCCACTGGAAAGCTCATTCCAAGCCCTATCTGAAAAACAGTAACTGTAGTAGTAACTGTATGGCATGACGGTACTAAAGGCTATTA